CTGAAGGACTTTTTAGGCACCTCCATGCACCACCCACTTTTTTTTTTTTCTTTTTGTATATAAATAGTGGATGCCACACACAATGCTCGGCCTGCTGCTGCTTTCACTTAATTTATCCTAAAGCTCTTCCCTGTCACTGTGTAGTAAATCTCATTTTTTTAATAGCTGCGTAGTAGTCCAGGGTGTGGCTAAACGTCATTAATCTGACCTATGTCTTCAGAGAGAGACGAAGCTAGTTGGTTTCCAACCCTCTGTCCTTAGGAACCAGGCTGGAATGCTTGTACATGTGTTGTTTTCTACCTACGCTGGTATGCGTGTGGGATAAATTACAGGCATGCATTTGCTGGGTCTTACAGTTCTATACGTTCGCGATTTTGGTAGAAGTTGTGAAAATGGCCCCCATTTAAAAAAAAAATAGCAGCTTACTCTCCACCAATAGTGTTTCAGGGTGCCAGTTTTTCTTGAACTTTATCGAAATTTTGGATTTTTCCCCTCTCCTATGTATTATAGCCTTGGTGACACTTAATTTTCATTTATTTTATTATAAATATATAATTATTTTATTTTAACTCAATATATATACATTAATCATATATTTTATATAAATAAAATTATTTTATTATATTTATTATGAATTTATCTTATAAATAAATTTATTATAATATTGTAAATTACATATAAAACATATACATTGTATATTTATATAAATATATAGATATTATATATTATAAATATATTGCATTTATTTTATTATTATATTGTAAATGTATAAATATATATTATTTTATTATTTTGTTATAAAGTTTGAGCATCTTTTTATACATTTTGCTTATTTATACCTCCATTTCTGTGAAGTGCCTGGTCATGTCTTTGGCTTTTTTTTTTTTTTTTTAATTAACTTTTTGGTCTTTGGCTTTGCTGTTTATAGGAGCTCGTTATATTGGGAGATCAGCCCTTTGTCTGCGGGACTAGTTGTAGATATTTCCCATTCTGTCATTTCTTTGATTGCCTTTTTTTTTTTTTTTTTTTTTTTTAACTCCCCGGTCAACTCATTCTTCGTGTGAAGCATTTGGGTCTGGGTTGTTTGCCGTCATCACACAGCCTCGATCATCCAGACGTATTCAGGGTCCCCACATGCTGGGCGCACGGCCGCTCACGTTCCTGATCACGCCGGCATTGCCTTTCTGGAGGCTCTGTGTGGTGTTCGGGGAGCACAGCTTGTAAGCGGCAGAGACAGGAGTTAGACCCAGACCTCCCTGGGTTAGAGCATCACCGCCACTGCCTGGCTCGTCAGTCTAATTTAAGAGAATGCAAACTAGTCTTCTATTAATCAAAGGGAAGTAAAACTCATAAGATGAAAACTACTAGGAAAGAAGCAAACTGAAGAGTGGCGCTACCTTATGACCCTCTGCTTAGGAATGTTCCCCTCCATTCGTGCAAAGAGAGCGGTTCAAGATGGTGTAATGTCAGCAAATAATTATTAGTTAATATATGTTAATGATGCTATGAAGAAGTTATTATGTGTGTGATGCCCGTGTTGAGTATAATGTCCTCCGCCTTTCTGTGTTCTCTGTGTATGCAAATATAAGTTATTAGCTGTCCCCTGCAGGCAAGCTGCCTCACAGTTGACCATCACCGTTGACCCAATCTCTGTATCCCTTGGTGGCCCAAAACAAGCTAGATATTTTTTTTCATTTTTACTGATTTGGCAGATTTTTCCACCAGCTGTCGGAGTGGATACCTACAGAAGTAAATGTTCCCTTTCTCATCCCAGAGATGTTCTTTGTGTATGTGGGGAGCGGGGCACGTGCCGTCTGCTCTCCAGGGTGACCCCACACTATTCCTTTTTAAACCGCAACTGCATAAACCACAGTCGTCAGGGAGATTGCGAATCCAAGGGAAACTTGCAGTGGATTGTGGTTTTAGGGAGAGGTGAGCAGCCCAAGAAGCTCAGAATAACCACAAATGAAAGTAATAATAAGTATTCTCTCCTCAGGGATAGAATCTTGGGTCCCCAACTGCATAAGAATAAGCCGTTTAAAGAAAAACTCCAGGGTCACCTGGGTGGTTTAGTCCGTTAAGCCTCTGCCTTCTGCTCAGGTCATGATCCTGGAGTCCCAGGATCGAGTCCCGCATCGGGCTCCCTGCCCAGCGAGGAGTTTGCTTCTCCCTCTGCCCCTCCCCCATAATGTTCTCTCTCTCCCTCTCTCTCTCTCTCTCTCCCTCAAATAAATAAAATCTTTAAAAAAATTTTTAAAAGAAAAGAAAAACTCTAGGGGCACGTGGATGGTGCAGTTTGTTAAGTGTCTGACTCTTGGTTTTGACTCCAGTCATGACCCCAGGGTCAAGTGATTGAGCCCCATGTCGGGCTCTGCACTTAGTGGGGAGTCTGCTTGAGATTCTCTCTCTCCCTCTGCCTCTCCCTCCCCCGCCATGCTCTCTCTCTCTCTCTCTCTCTCTCTCTCTCAAATTAACAAATGTTTTTGAAAATGTCCTTTCTTAAATAAAAGAGAAAGAAAAACTCCAAGGAAGTAAGACTCTCAGGGTTTTATTCTCTGGACGTTGAAGGTAATGTAATGAGCTCTAATGGAACTAGACTTTGGCTGCGTGTGGTAGAAAGGGGAGCAGAGAGTGGAAGAAATAAGAAGTCGGCAACACTCTTAGCCCACTGAACACCCCCGCCCCTTCAGGACCCAAGGCATCATGCTTGCCTTTGCTTGCTTGCAAGGGTAGGGAAGGATGTCAGAGGCCACTTTGAGGCTCTGATTTTAACCCCTTATTTCTGCATAGCCCGCACATTCAAGCGACCTGATGTCGCGTGAGTTCCAGAACTATTCCTCTTGACAATCCCGGAGGACCTGAGTTATGTGTCCCCTTATAAATCTCAGAGAATGAGGAAATGTTCACACGTAATGCCCGGGGAACACATAAGAATTCTGAGTATTCACTATACTGGCCTAGGGCAATGGGGACTGTTCAGGTGAGCCGGTGAGCTGGGGCCATTCCGCACACCAAGCTGGCACAGAGGGGCTGCTCCTGTCCCGGGCAGTCCTGGGTCCTGTGCCGTAAAGGGCAAGCCTCACCTCTGAAGACACATTGTCTGCGTTGGTCCCTGAGAACACAAGCCAACTACTGGCTCTGGACGTCCCCAGAAGAAGCAGTCGCCCATGACCCTGCAGGAGGACGATCTGGCTTCAGTGGATACGTTGAACAGATAATCTCCTAAATAGTTCTTAAGCATGATTTTTTTTATTATGGTGATTTAAAAAATTAATTCATTTTAATTTCTGGTGTAATTAACATACAGTGTTATATTGGTTTCGAGGGTGCCATATAGCGATTCAGTAATTCTGTACATCACTCAGTGCTCATGATGCCAGGTGTACTTTTTGTCCCCATCACCACTGTCCCCATCCCCCCAGCCACCTCTCCCCTGGTAACCATCTGTGTGTTCTCTATATAGTTAAAGAGCCTGTCGCTTGGTTTGTCTGCCTTTATTTTGTTTCTTAAATTCCACATATAAGTGAAATCATACAATACGTGTCTTTGACTTACGTCACTTAGCGTTACACTCTCTAGGTCTGTTCGTGTTGCAAATGGCAAAATACCGTTCTTTTTTTTTTTTAAGATTTTATTCATTTATTTGAGAGATCACAAGTAGGCATGCAGAGAGAAGAGGAGGAAGCAGACTCCCTGCTGAGCAGAGAGCCTGATGCGGGGCTCGATACCAGGACCCTGGGATGGGATCATGACCTGAGCCGAAGGCAGAGGCTTTAACCCACTGAGCCACCCAGGCGCCCCAATACCGTTCTTTTTGAGGCTGAGTCATATTCCATTGTCTGTGGAGACCAGTGATTGTTTACCCTACCTCTTGACTTTTGAACCTAAGCTTCATGTAAGAATGAAGGTTACTGTTGTAGCATTATCTTGAAAACTCATCCTTTCACTCAGAAAATACTTATTATCAATGATGTGCCAGGTACTGATAAAAAATTTGACTGCCCTGAAGTGGATTCTAAGTGTTTGTTGCATGCTGAAAGCCTTTTCATTTGCACGGTGTTATTTTTATATCCACAAAAATCAGACCAGGACAAAGCTGCCTAGAGCCTTGATGTCCTACTTAGAATGTGGGGAAAAGAGATCTTGAACCCCTCTCTAAAATTGTATTCCTCGCTGTCTTGTTTTTAGTTTTCACAATGAAAACTTTTAGTACGGGTGGATGAGGGGCTTGTCGGATGTCACGTGAAATGTATTACAGTTGTAGTCAAAGAATAAAATGAATGATAAACCTCAACATTCAGGCTAGTGGATCCCTCCAAGGAGAAAGAGGGTTTTATGATCAATAAGTAGTACAGGAGGCAATTCAACTACATAGATAATATTTTATTTCTTAAGCAGCATTTTGGCTTCATGAGAATTCACTGGTTTATTTCTTCTCATACCTTTTATATATCGTAAGTATTGCACAGGAATTTTCAGAGATGAACCCAGAAAGGGTTGGGGGTGGGGGAGATAATGATGTATCTGGGAATGGAAATATGGTTTTAAAAATCCCTAAAATATTTAAGGTCTCTTTTCCTATAAATATGGATGTAAGAAAGAGCTCAGATTCAGGACTCATCTCTTTTCCAGTGTGACGATTTTGTCAGTGACATATTTTTAAAAGTATTTCCCTTATTCCTAGTTTAAACTGTATATCTAATATTCATGGCCCCCCCCCCCAAAAAAATGCTAAGGACACACTGTGATTGGTAGGGATTGCCTGCTTGGCATGGTCCCTACCGAATTAGCATTTGATTTTACCTGATGGCTGTTGCCCTCTGTGACATGAGCTCAGAGGGGTCCACAATCGGGGCATGTTTTCTTAGCAGGAAAATTGGCCCGGTACCAATCGAGCTAGTATTTGAAGTCAAAATTGCCTTTGCTAATGCTCTTTCTCTCTCTCTCTCTCTCTCTCTTGCCTTTTTTTTTCTTTTTTTTTTTTTTTAATTTAACTGCAGTGAAGGGAGCAATCTGACCCCAGCTCATCATTACCCAGACTTCAGGTTTAAGACATATGCTCCACTAGCATTCCGATACTTCCGAGAACTTTTTGGTATCAAGCCTGATGATTACTTGGTAAGAACCTGTAATTTTCCTTCCTTCTCCAGGAATGTGTGATAAAAACATTTGTCTCGTAGCAACAGTGACAAGGGGCTTGCGTCTCTTGTTTTAATAAAGCTCGGGAGCGTAGTAAAAGGTCCTGGTTTCATAACGACGATAAATTTAGCTTCAGGAAATGTGATTGGACTCTGTCGCCTTTACTGATAGCTACAAAATCTGCTTTAGTCATAGATATTGAAATAATTGTGGGATTGGTTGCTACTTCAGATGATTATTCTAACAGATATATTATAATGAACACTATGTTTTTTGCTGCGAATTTTGCGATTGGATTCTATTTGAAAGCCTTCCTGTTTTAATTGCCATATTTACACCAGTTGTCTCAAACCTGCCTTGGCCCACAACCATTTTCACCTTGACCTACAACTTGAATGCCATTTCAGAGATGTTAGGTAGTTTTGTTCTCAACATCTCTTGATGCATACTCTTTTTTAATGTGTCTTTATCTGGTACAGGGCATAGTCTGCCCTTAGGCTTGTCTTTTCTCTGCATCATCTTTCTGGCACGCAGCAGGTATGGAACACAGCAGCCTTTTTGGGAGGTGGTCTGATGTGATCTCAGATTGCTACCTTTATTCCTGTTCAAGGAACCAGGAACTTCCTTTTTGTTTCAAGGGGAAAGTGGTTTATTTTGTAATTTGATCACTGTTAACACCCTGGGGCTCTTCAAAATTGGTTTTCGAGAAGCTGTAGGAAGAGTGCCATCAAATATTTATCGTTCACCCCATTCTGAATGATCTTAATAAGACTTGAGCCAGATCCTGGAATAAAGCTTTGCCGGGGAAGTGTGGTAGCATTTATCCCTTGGAACACAGAGTATTTAAACTGCATTTTATAATTTGGGTAAGATGTACGTGATAAAATTCACAACGGATTCTGTTCTGTGCTGATGAAAACTTGTGCATCTGTGACCCTCTCCTTTTTTTTTTTTTCAAGTTTTTTTTAACTCCAGTTAGTTAACATGCAGTGTTGAATAAGTCGCGGGTGTGCAACATAGTGTTCATCACAACAGGTGCACTCCTTGACCCCATCATCTATTTCTCCCATTCCCCACCCCTCCTCGACTCTGGTATGACCCCCTTCTTTAGTTGGGCTCTGAGAAACTCCTATGACTTCCACCCCATGAGATGATACTTGCTCCTTGAGGCACATTAAAAAGGCTTCAGAGCAGTGGGGAGTAGAAAGTCCCTGGCCATCCTCCTGATCTTAAATGGGTTCCTCCAAGTAAGTAGCTTTCCGTCTTGTCATGCCCCACTCACTGAGGTATCTGCTGTCTCCAGCCAGCAACCTCCAACCTGCCCTCACCAGCTACTCCAGGACACAAAGCCACACATCTGAGGGGTGGGGAGTGGCGTGGGTGTGTGTAGATATGTTCTAGAAAAGATGTCTTCGGTTCCTGACCATTCTATAACTATTGAGCGTCACTGTCATTCAGGAAACATGTTTGGGAAGCTCAGTGGGGTCTTGATATCGTCTTACGGAAAACAAGATTGTGCTCCGATCTCCTGCCACACGTTGGAAGTCGGTGGATGCTCCTTCTGAATTTCCTTGAGCTTCCGCTAGCCAAGTAGATGCCATACACTTGTGCTTCAGAGCACAGAGCACAATCTGTGTGATGACACGTCTGTCCGTCTGCCCTCCTCCCTTGCCCCTCCTGCGGTCACTGAGCTGCAGGCTGGGAAGCCCACTCTTGTACTCCTTCTGTCTCACAAAATTGCTTTCTTAGAGGAAGGCCTTTTCCTGATCAACAATGCACAGGGCTTCCACAGCTTCCCAATGAGCCTTCAGACTGGCAGAGTTACTTATGTCATGAAGTTTGAGACTGTGCAGAGGAGCACAGAGCAAGATGGTTTCTCAGAGCCGAAGTCTTTCTTCATGTAGCTGGCAAAAGGTGAATTAATCGGTCAGTACTTTGAGTACTTACTGTGATGAAAATGCTTGGCTACGAATTACGGGGAGATTCAAAAATGATAAGTCATGATACTCAGAGAACTTAAAATCCAGCTGGAATGATGATTTGCTTATGTGGGAGAACCACAAACTTTACTGGGCAGTAACTAGACAGTACCCAAGGATGTCGGAGGAGGGGGCAGGGGGCCTCTGTCTGTTGTACCAAGGATGAGGAGGGCTTCTTCTGGGTGTGAAATGGTTTAGCTGCGATGTAAAAATTAGAAGGGATTTGAGTAGGTAGAAAAGAAGGGAAGCATATTCAGGGGAGGGGAGGTGGTGTAAGGATGGTGGGACCAGAGACACAAATGCTTACGTGTTTAGACGCACTTTGGGTGGACCAAGATGGCGGGGAGAGGAAAGTTTGGATCAGGAAGTTGGAAAGATGGGGCCAGATCATGCAAATAAACAGTTTGTTTGGTTTTTTTAAATTATAGGAAGCTGGTGAAATTTAAAGAGACTACATATTTGATGATGTTGAGGAATTGGGTTTTCGGTGGGATGATGGTATTCTGGTTCTGTTTTCAAAGAGGAGAGTTTGGCTTTTTGAGACACATGCTGAAGTTTCTGTGGGTGGGATGATGTGATTTCTGGGGTTTGCTTGGAAAGAATCTGAGGGAAGCAGGCAGAAGGGTGATTGGGTTGTAGCAGAGACAAGACTGGCCAGGAGTTGATCATTGTGGAAGCTGGAAGGATGATAGAGAGATGTTAATTACACAATTCTCTTTACTTTTATGTAGGTTTGAAATTTTCCATAATGAAGACTTGGAGGGTGGGGGAGAAAAAGACAGGAACAGGCAAATCAGAGTGCTTTTGTCTGATTCCATTTTTCCACCTCCCTGTAACCGGACCCATCTCTGGGACCTGCAGAAAAACAGACAAAGGTCTTATAGCTGAACATGGCTGCCTGGACCCCAATGGTTATGGCTGCCTACCTGCGGGCACTGAGACTCCCACTGGGGACACCCCAGCCCAGAACTAGAAGTTCACCTCCAAACCCTTCAACTGAAAAACCCCAGCCAGTGATTCAAAGTGTGGTAGATGAAGAAAGGGCTTTGAACCTGGCATGATATACTTCCCAGAATTAGGTATAACCCTCAGACTTCTTAGCACAACCATTCATTGTAGATGAACAGGCTAAAGCTAGGGTTGGAGAGGTCCCCAAGGTTTACCCACGCTGGTGGGCGCACAGTCTGGACCTGAACAAGCATCCCCCAGCCCTCCCCCTGTGTGCTTGTCCATTGACCCGCTGGCCCCCTGGGCCACGGAGTCTCAGACCTCTCCTTCAATGTGATCTCACCCTAACACTCCTGCAGCCACCAAACCGTGAGGTGTCCGCTCTGAAACATCTGGCCAGAGAAGTCAGCACCTCCAACAAAGCATTCTTTGGAAGAGTTAAGCCCAGATGAAGCACAGGAGAATCAAATTAAGACCACCATTAAAAAACTGTGTGAAGGGAAAAAAATTAAAAAGTATCATTAGGAGAACAGAGTCCATCCTGGCATCTATCAGACGGGCTCATCAAACCCGTACCTGTGAAGATCTACTGACCTAAAACGGGGAGGAGACGGTAACGTTATACAATAATGGTAACTCTCCAGAAAGGTCGACTCTTGAATCCCCGTGACACGCGTGCATTTCTGCTTTGCTTTGTGCTCTTGCGTCTGGATTTGAGCCTGAATTACTCTGTTTTGTTCTCAGTACCGTGAAGGTTCACACGTGCATGCCGATTGCAAGTTTCATGTTGGAACATGCGTAATGTGGATCGTGAGACCACACACCCGAGTGCTGGTGTGTGCCCTGCACGGGGACACACCTCCTTGCTTACTTGTTCCAAAATAAACGCCTCCCAAGGGAAGGTCAAGGGCCCCCAGAGCATGTTTTTCCCCCACATCTCTGCTTGGACAAGAAGTCCTTGGTTGGATTTCCTGCTCCCCCAGGTGCCCCAGTGTTCCAGAATCCGGCGTGATTTACATGATGTCCTTCCAGACTCACGGGCACCAGTGGAGAGCAGGGGGGGTGAATATTTCACACTATTGGGGGGAAGAAAATGGCAGGAAGAATGATCTCCACCACGCTGAGCCGGTTTACATTGTTAATTTGCCTTGGCGGGGCCCAGCGGGGTTGTACTTTGTGGCCTTTCCAGTGGGGATCTTCGGGAGGCCCTGCAGGAAATCGAAGGAAGAGAATAGATGCATTGGAACAGCTTGCACGAAAGAAAGGGCCTGCGGGAAAGTGCAGAAGACGCGGGCGTCCACGTGGGCCTTGTGGATCGAGGCTAATTAAAATGTTCCCTCCCGCCTCTTTATTTGCTCTTTAGCAGAACGTTGCCCAGAAGGTTGGTCACAAGGTTCTAGGATGAGAAACCGCAGAATTGCAGGTGACAAGGGTGGGAGTCCTGGGAGCCTCATGATGCCAGTTGTCTGCACACTGATGCTCTGTCGTTGTGAACCCCACCAGAGTCCAGTTTCTTTTTGTGTGCATGTTACTTTGTAAATTACCTAATAGAGGACTGTTCAACAAGTAACCAATGAAATACTTCCCCTGTAATGTCACTGCTTATAGAAGAATTTAAGACTTTAATTGGAAACAGATGTACAGGTCTGAATCCGGTTTACTCCAGACCGAGCCTCCTGCATTGCCCCCTAATTTCCCCATTTGCAGCCTCTCGTTTCTGCGTTCTGTGTTGTCGTTGCCCTTCCACAACATCGACTCCTATCTGTAAGAAGGTTGTATGCCAAGACCTCGAAGCCCGTAAAACAGAGAATCAGAATTCCTAAAGAAAGTGCGGGGTCTGCCCTCACTCTAAGAGCTTCAGGTCCACACCTTTGTTTGCCGGCGTCTCAGATTCGTGATTGCGCAAAAGACGCATCTCGCTTCTTGACTCACTAGGAATGTCGTGGTGTATCTTTGGGTAGCCCTCTGGTCGTTGGAGTTGGGCCTGAGGCATGGCCAGCTCTTGCTCACCTGGAAGGGGTCTGCCCCGCTCCCCTGCGCACGGTCACGCAGCAAGAACTAGAAACAGGGATAAGCCAGTGGTCACTCTTAGCCAGCGGCTTTGAAAGCACGCACTTTAAAAGCTTCCAGCTGCTTTCCTGGAGATTTTGTTAGCGTTGTTTTAGAGATGAGGTTCCTTGGACTCTGGGTGCCAGGGGTATTTACGCCAGGTCACTTAAGTGGTCACCGGTAGAGGCTTGATTTTTTAAAAAGAGAAAAAAAAGTGCTTTCCGGGGTGCCTGGGTGGTGCAGTGGGTCAAGAGTCAGACGCTTGATTTTGGCTCAGATCATGATGTCAGGGTCCTGAGATCAAGCCCCACGTCGGGCTCTGCACTCACCACGGAGTCTGCCTGAGATTCTCTCTCTCTCCCTCTGCCCCTCTTGCTCTCCTTCTCTCTCTAAAATAAATAAGTATTTTTAAAAAGGGGGGGGTGATTTCAAGTCCCAGGCCTGTCCAACTGATGAGCTTTCCACACGGTCCCGCACCCACAGCAGGGAAAACGCCCTCTGCTTCCCCAGGGGGCATTCATGGCATTCTGTATGTGGTCTTGGGGCTATTTTTGTTTTCCTTCCTCATCTCTAAGTCACCCATCATGGCAGAGGCTCTCACTCTACTCAGCGTGGAAGCATCGGGAAGCCAGCCTAGAGGAAAGAGAAGTGGAAAACGGAAGTTGCAGTGACTCTCAGAAAGGCCGCACACACTCGCCACTTTCTTTTCCTCAGAGAATTTTGTTTCCCTTATCCATGTGCTGCCAAAGCAAGCTAATTTAAAGTCAGCATCTAGAAACTGCCTTTTAGTTGTTGTTCTCCTGGTTTCTCCCTTCTCCATCTTCCTCCCCCACCTCCTACTCCCCTCCTTTCAGATTTCTCTGTGATGGGGACTTCGCTTTTCAGAAGCCCAGGTGAAAAAGCATTGGGGCATGTTCTAGATGTTTCCATCTTCGGGACCCAATTCTTTAAATCCACGGGGTCTGGTCTGGTCTCACACGCTGGGTCCTGACCTTTTCCTCTGCTTTCAGTGTTTCTCTGGTCAGTAGTGGGAATTGTTAGTTGATAAACACTGAGTCCCATGGCCCCAAATTTGACTTCCCTACGGTTTTTTGGCATTTGGTTGGATTGATAGCCCTTCACTTGTTGGTGGCATGTGGCGTTCAGCCACAGTTCGACAAAAATTTATTTAGTGCCTGCCATGTGCATCGTATCCCTGCCTGAGAGCCGCGTGGTTTGTGCTCTCCCAGAGCTCTGCATTCTGCTGGAGACACGGAGTAAGAAATGGGCATTTGAGGTATTTTGTGGTAACTTCCATGATGAAAACGTCCAGTGCCAGGAAGCAGATGATCTAGACTCATGGGACCAAGAAGAGTTTTCTGGAATAAGCGCCATTCATCAGATGCTGAAAGCCTGAGTCACATAAGGGATTCCTCGCTGAGCCCCCAGGCCTCTTTTGTCCCCTGACAGTGGCTTCTCAGCACAGCAGACAGAGTGGTCCTCTGCTCCAGATCTTCCTCTGGCTTTCAGCTCCCTTAGAGAAAAAGTCAGCATCTGTGCAGTGACCTGTGCCACCCTCTGTGGTCTGGCCCATGTGCTCTTTGCTCTCCTGACTCCCTCTGCTCTGGCCACTGGTCTCCTGGCTGTGCCTTGAACTCCCCAGGTCTCAGGACCTTTGTATTTGCCCTCCCCTCTCCTGGACACATCTTCCCCCAGACAACCACGGGCCTCTGCTCAAATGCCCCCTTCTCAGGGAAGCTTCCAGTGGCCAGCACTACTCAAAATTCATGGTAAACCAACTCTCAGTCCCTGCTGGGCCTCCATCTCCTTTCCATGCACCATCTTCTCCATAGCACTTACCATGTCCTGATATATAATTTCTTACTTGTTTCCCACCTGTTTTCTCCTGCTGGGATCCAAGCTTCCTGAATGCCTGGGATATTACAGATGCCCAGGACCCGTTTTCTCAATGCTAAATGAATTCATGAATGAGGAGTAGTCAGCCTGGTGAGGGTAGAAGAGAGGTGGGTCTTGGTAGAGGAAGATGTAGAATCCCAGTTGTTGACAGTCTTTGGCACATTTGAGGAAAGGGGAAGTAGCTGTCTGTGACTAGAGCTAGATTTTAAGGAGGGAAGTGGTAAAGGAGAAGGCTGGAGAGCAGGGCTGGGCCACACATGGCCTTGACAACTGTGGTAGGAAATCTGGGTGTTATCTTCTAACCAGATGGTAGAAACCACTGAAAGATGTGAAGACATGGGAGGATGAGATCAGATTGGCATTTTGAAACATCTCCGGCTTCCTGGTAGAAAATGCACAAGAGAAGTCAAGAGTGGATCCTCGAGGCCAGGTTGAGTCTCCCATAGTAATGGAGGCAAGATATGAAACCACTGAACTTAGGGTATGAGCAAAAGAGAGGGCATGAAGGGGGCAGATATAATCAATAGTCTGGATATGAAAGGTGAGGAAATGGGAAGCATCAAGGATGATGCCCAAGTTTCCAGTTTGGGAACAAAATGAATAAGAGGGAGAATATAGAGATTGGGGGTCGGGGGTGATCTAGAATCACCATGTATGGTTGTGCAAGTTGTGCGCTGCCCAAGAATACATGGCTAAGCTAAAGGAGTAGAGACTGGAATCCAGCCCTTCTAATCCTGAGCCTTGTATCTGACCCAGGGCTACATCTGCCAGAAGAAAAAGGCACCTTTTTCTAGTTACTATAGAAACATCGTGTGTGCTAACCCTAGCCCTAAGATGAATTTGATTTTGAACTTGGTACGCGTGAAGTGCTTGTAATGTGACCAGATAGAAATATCTATTAAAAAGGTAGGTGTTCAGGTCTGGAGCCTTTGAAAGTGTTCTGGCCTAGATCTACAGCTGTTAAGAGTCCTCTCCTTATTGAAACCGTGCATGGATGACATCTTTTGGGAAAGTAAATAGTGAGAAGAGAATAGGTGTTGGTGTTCATGTGACAAAAACGCAGTATGAGTCATACCTTCAGTTGTTAAGTTACAGATACTTGCTGGAAACAGCACCGTAGACCACAGCATTGTTTGCGTTATTTCACTGGACAAATGTGATGACTGATGATTCTCTCCTATGACATTGGGGGAGGGGGGGTTCAGAAGGCATTTCTGTTTCTCATAGAATTATTAGGATAAATGGATCAATTAAATTTTTAGAAACCTCAAAGAGCCCTCTTAGTAGAACCTCCTTTGAAAGCTCATGGCAGAGAACTTCCTACTTCAGAATGGTCTAGATGTGTAATCCTGTGATTTTCCTCCTTGGAGGCTTCGTGTACAGTGAATGTATTTTTTAAATTTTTTATTTAAAATTCAATTTAGGGGCGCCTGGGTGGCTCAGTGGGTTAAAGCCTCTGCCTTCGGCTCAGGTCATGATCTCAGGGTCCTGGGATCGAGTCCCGCATCGGGCTCTCTGCTCAGTGGGGAGCTTGCTTCCTCCTCTCTCTCTCTCTGCCTGCCTCTCTGCCTACTTGTGATCTCTATCTGTCAAATAAATAAATAAAATCTTTTAAAAAAATAATAAAATAAAATAAAATTCAATTTAATTAGTATATAGTGTAGTATTAGTTCCAGAGGTAGAACTTAGGGATTCATCAGTTGCACGTAACACCCAGTACTCATTCCCTCACGTGCCCTCCTTAATGCCCATCACCCAGTTACCCCTTCCCCTTCTCCCCGCCTAGTTTGTTTCCTTGAGGTAAGAGTCTCTTATGGTTTGCCTGACTCTCTGCTTTCATCTTGTTTTTCCTTCCCTTCCCCTATGTTCTTCTGTTTTGTTTCTTAAATTCCGCCTAAGAGTGAAACCATATGATAACTGTCTTTCTGTGCTTGACTTATTTCACTTAGCATAATACCCTCTAGTTCTGTCCACCTCCACGTTGCAATGGCAAGATTTCCCTTCTTTTTGATGGTTGCATAATGTTCCATTGTATATATATACACCACATCTTCTTTATCCACTTATCTGTTGATGGACATCTGGACTTGTTCACTAGTTTGGCTCTGGTGGGCATTGCTGCTATAAAAATTGGAGTGCATGTGCCCCTTCAAATCACGATGTTTGTATCCTTTGGAGAAATACCTAGTAGTGCATTTTTAATTATTTATTTATTTACCCCTGCAGTATTCCATCTGCAGTGAACCTCTAATAGAGCTGTCCAACCCTGGAGCCAGTGGATCCTTGTTTTTTGTGACCAGTGATGATGAATTTATCATCAAAACCGTTCAGCATAAAGAAGCTGAATTCCTTCAGAAGCTACTGCCAGGCTATTACATGGTAAGTAACTGTCCATAATTAAAACTCTTACATGAGATGTAATTACTTTCCACAAGGTTTTTTTTTTTTTCCTCCTATGCTTTTTTATAGTAACCCTCTGGCATGTTTCTTTCTTTTGGGTGAGCTCCGTTTTGCATTTGGATTCTACTGTGACCATTGTTAAATAGATTTTACCAAGTAGAGCTGTTAGCAGAGGATAGTTGACTCACACAGTTCTGGGTTCAAATCCCAGCTTAGCCATTAGTGAATGGTATGACCACAAGGAAGCCATAGAACCTCTGAGCTGTAGTCTCCTCTGTCTTTCAAAGCTGTGAAATGCCTGCCTTGGAAGCTTGTTGTGATAGAGAAAGATTACAGGGTGTGAGATAAAGGAAGCAGTGCCTTGCCAAGTTCTGGGCTCCCAGTCCAGAGTCATAATGTGAATGCTTAGCATTCATTGAGCGCTAAGCTATATGTGAAACACAGCTGTAAAAATATTATTTAATTCCCAAATCTGCTGGAGATGAATCACACATATAAATACAGGGATCAGAAATCGAAATGAAATCTCAATGGACAGGATGGATGGGATTTTTGATCCTGAACAAAACTGGGAAAATTTTTTTAGAGCATATTGTCTACTTTATATCAGAGAACACAGAAGATCCAGAAAAGCAAGAAAAATGCAACCAACTCTCATTCTTTGCCCAAGATACATATTACTAATATTTGGTGTATGTCCTTCCTGATGTATTCTGTTCATATGCACATTTTTTGAATAATGTGAAAGTGGGATCAAATGGTCATTGCACTTTACTAACCTGCTAAGTAAGTAGATCTTAAACACGTAGATTTCTACGCTTAGGGGAACTAGTCTCTTGTTCTCGAACTGCATTGTCCAATAGGGTAGTCATTAGCCATATGCAGCTATTAACTTGAAACTAATTGAAGTTAAATGAAATGGTAAGATCGAGCTGAACAAGTGGTTTATCCCAATCATGTAAGCTAGTATAAGAAATAGTGTAATTCATACAGTTAACAAGAAAAAATATGAACATCTTGTGGTATTCAAATAAATATTGCTTAGAAACAAAGGCATTCAAAATTCAACAGCTTCTCTTGCTTAAAATTCTTTAAACTGGCAGGGAAGTTTTAACATAAATAAATTAGTTGACACACACATTATGCATTTATCAGTCTCCAGGAGTTACATAGTACCTCATGGAGAAGAACAAGAGCCATTTCGTTGGAAATAATGGGAAAAGCTAAGGATGCCCTCCATCATTGGTCCTTTCTGATACATTTGCAAGAATCTCTAGCAATAACTTTTTGAGTACAAAAAGAAACAAAAGTATAAACACTCTTCGCTTGTAAATAATACAATTAAAAATGAGCAAAACTTCAAGAAAATTAGCCAGCAGTTTCTAGAGGTAACGAGAGCCCAGCAGATTTGCAGGATGTAAGATATATCTACGCAATCCATTGCATTCCATTATGTAGATCATCTAGAATAAGTAGAATAGAAGGGAGAAAATGAGATCCTGTTTATGAGGACAATAACTTAAAGCGAATGTTATTAGAATAAAAATACAAGTGAATGAAGGCAGACTATCATTCTGGTCAGGAAAGCAAGTAATTGTTAGCACTATAATGTCTGAGCATAACCCCAACAGAATTTTTGTAATAGGAACTCTAAAATACTTGAGTCTGTAAAAAAAAATATATAAGAACAATATGAAAGAAACTACAAATTGTTATTGAAAGGCATAAAACAAAGTTATGACATAATGAGACACAATCCGTTCCTGAACTCAGTGTTGTAAGGATTTCAGTTCTCCCAAATCATGTTCTAAACCCAGTCTGATTCCAACCAAGAATGCCAGTAGGGCTGCATCTCTGAGAAAACACCAAGTGTCATGGGACACCGATGTTGTGGGTAGGCTTGGGGGTCCCAGGGGCCATGGAAAGACACAGTGGCTTCTCTGTGGGCCAAAGACAAGGAGCGGATCCCTGTCACCAAGCTGGGCCTCCTGCTCAGTGACATGAAGATCAAGTCCTGGAGGAGATGTGTTTCTTCTCAAGGAATCTGAGATGATTGACTTTTCCTGGGGACATCCATCAAGGATGAGGTTTTGAAGACTATGCTTGTGCAAAAGCAGATCTGTACTGGCCATTGGACCAAGTTCAAGGCATTTGTTGCCATTGGAGATGACAATGGACATGGCGGTCTGGGTGTTAAATGTTCCAAAGAGGTCACCACTGCCATCCATGGGGCCATGATCCCTAACAAGCTTTCCATCGACCTGTGTGGTGAGGTGACTAGGGGAACAAGATTGGCAAGCTCCATGCTGTCCCATGCATGGTGACCGGCCACTGTGGCTCTGTGCTAGGGCGCCTCACTCCTGACCCCAGGGGTGCTGGCACTGCCTCAGCTCCTGTACCCAAGAAGCTACTGATACTGGCCAGTACAGACGACAGGTCCCCTTCAGCCAAGGACTGCACTGCCACCCTAGGCAACTTTGCCAAGGCCACTTTTGATGTCATTACCAAGTCTTAGAGCTAGCTCAGCCCAACTCTGGAAACAGACTATGTTCACCAAGTTTCCCCATCAGGGATTCCCTGACCATCTTGTAACAACCCACACCAGAATCTCCGTGCAGAGGACCCAGGCTCCCGCTGTGGCCACCACATGCTTTATAAAGGAAATAAAGTGAACTAAGTCTGTGTTTAAAAAACATGCCAATAGGATTTTGACCTGAATTAGTTCATTTGAAATGAAAACAAAAACAAAAAGGGAAAACAAGTATCGTTTTAAGAGCACTTAAAAAAAACAAACAGTGGAAGGGAGGGGTTGTAAGACTAGACAAAACATTTTTGATGAAGAATTAAGATAGTGAACCTGCCATAACATACACCAAAAACCCACAAACTTTTTCTAATATTAAAGGTATTAATATATTAAAGAAATAATACAGTGCTAGACAAATACATCAGTGAATTGAGATAATTCCATATTTCAGATTTTTCCACACACAGAATCATTCTAATGGAGTAAAGATCAAATGTAATGACAAAAATTTGGAAGAAAAGAGAAGAAATTTAGGACCCTGGGATATAAAAAGCTTCGCTAAACAGGAAGCAAAAAGAAAGCACAAGAAAGAAGTACGTAAATGTGACTACATCAAAGGGCAAAACATCAGTATCACAAACAAACAAAAAAAACACCAGACACAAAATTAACGTAAGCACATGGACTATTTCTGGAATGATAAAAAGTGGGGACAGTAGTTAAAAGTTGGGAACTGGTAAAGGATCAGGGGATAGTAGAGAAACTTTCATGATGTGAAGTGCTCTCCAGCATACTGTTCTTAATTTGTCACCTACTTTTAAAGTGAAACAAAAATAGGCATGTATTTTTTATTAGTACAGTAAAAAAGATAACATACTGGGAGAAAATATTTACCCCTACTCTCTATGGGAGTATGATAAGTATCCAGAGTGTATCAAGAACTCCAACAATAACAAAAACTTACAGAAGAACAGGCAAAGGATATTAACACAGAATTGTCTTCAAAATGGCTAAAAATATATACACATGTTACATTTCTCTAATAGTGGTATTCCAGGTTTTTTTTAAGTTTCCTTTTTTTTTTTTTTTAAACCAGTCATGTGTACAGAGATTTTAAGCTTGATGCTACTCATCATGGATGAAGGGTGAGGGGAAATACATTATCTTACAAAGTGTGATTTAAGTTGGTCTACCCATCTTGGAAGATACTTTTAAATTTAAAATGCTCATCATTAGACCCCAGCCAGTAATTTTCTTTTTAGCTCCCATAGATCATAGTCACACATGTTCTTTGCCTGTTTTTAGTTGAATCTCAATTAGGACTCTCTGTCCATTTTCAATTCAGCCACTTTTAATGCTGTGGGTTGAGAATGATTAAGGTATTGTTCCAATGAGCTAACTCAAGTATCTGATCAGAGATAGGGTTATTTTAGTAATGACTATGAATAAAGAGACTCACACTCCATTTTTAATTCTCCTATTAGATGAAAACACACATTTAAGAGTCTTCTTTTGTGAAAATAGAATTTACATGTTTTTTTCTCCTTTTAGAACTTAAACCAAAATCCAAGAACTCTTTTGCCAAAATTTTATGGACTGTATTGCATGCAGTCAGGAGGCATCAATATCAGGATTGTGGTGATGAACAACGTCTTACCGCGCTCCATGAGAATGCACTTCACGTATGACCTGAAGGGCTCCACTTACAAGCGAAGAGCTTCCCGAAAGGAGAGAGAGAAATCCAACCCCACGTTTAAGGACTTAGATTTCCTGCAAGACATGCACGAAGGGTTATATTTTGACACAGAAACCTACAACGCACTCATGAAAACACTTCAGAGGGACTGCCGGGTAAGGACATGTCATCACCGTGGTGGCCTTTGGACACGCGTCTGTGGTCTTGTAGCCTTGGTAAGGAATGTCCAGAGCGGACATAGGGCAATCTCGTCATTCGCAGTCCTGGTGCCCATCCGTGCTTCCTTGATGTTGAAGGAATTGGTGGATGATAAGGGAATTGTCTGGAGTATCTGTGGATTTTACTAAAAAAAAAAACAAAGAGCTTAGTCTGCTTTCTTTGGTAAAATGAAACATGTTTTTTAATCTTTTCATCCACTCCTGTGGTTAAGCTGGAGGGAAAGGAAATTAGGTGTGGTGTAATGATTAGCCACAAAAGCCATATCCAAACCTTAACACAAGTAAGATTCCACCGGGAGAGAGAAGTTTAGAGAGTTGATACGCCGATCTCTGGATCAAGGCAGAAGCATGAGGCAAGCGATACAGTTGCTGAGATTATTTTGGGCGATCAGGAACGAGTCCTGACAGAGCAAAGACTGTAATATGCAGACTTAGCCAGAGTGATTGTCAGAAAGGAGGAGGAATTTAGAGTCCCCCAGCCTGCAATTCTTAGGAACCACGTAATAAGACCCAGAACCTGGGAGAGATGTTTCCAACATGGTGAATTTACAGAAAGTAGGTAAAAGTTCCCTTGGAGAAAAAGAGAAAAATGGAGCTCTTCTGAAGAATGATGGTCATTTGGTGAGCAAGTTCTCAGAAATAGAGTTTTGTGGCCCAGGTGCCCTTGGGAGAACCATCTAGTTTCCCAGCCAAGTTGGACACGGTGGAGGTGGGCAGACGTTGGGCTCCGACCTGGCCAGGGTGGGTAGGACTCACAGCACCTGATTCCTGGGCCATATGAGCTGTGCCTTCCAGACTGTGGCTTTCTGGACCTTGTGTGGGCCTGGACAGATGACACGCATTGGTCAGAACAGAGACGGGGGACAAATCCTTGCTGAGAAACACAGCCCTACTATTTATGGGTCTTTTCTTTCTGTATGTGAAGATGTGCAGGAGAATGCACTGAGGTGTCATCTCTATCGATGGGTTGCATCGATAGAGATGTTACTCCACAGAAACATTTTTTTAAGATTTATTCATCAGAGAGAGCACAAGCAGGGGGAGCTGCAGGCAGAGGGAGAAGCAGGCCCCCTGCTGAGCAGAGAGCCCGATGCGGGACTCGATCCCAGGACCCTGGGATCATGACCCGAGCCGAAGGCAGAGGCTTAATTGACTGAGCCCCCAGACACCTGCACAGCTCCTGTTCTTCATGCTCGGTGAGCTAGACTAGCCTGCGATCTTTTTTTCAGCACACATGTCATTTAATTTTCTCAGCATCCATTTGAAGCCCGTACTGTTCATCTTCCCATTATAATTGGTGGAAAATTAGGCTCTTAAAGAGGTTAAGAAACCTGCCCAGCATTACTTAGCAAGTGAGTGGCAGAGCCCACACCTGTTTGGGTACAAGGTATGTGCTCTTCACAATTGAAATGTAAAGAAAGATTCACTGTCAGGATTTTTTTAATTATTATCGTTATCTTTTTAGAAGTCAGGGGAGGGGAAGTGGGAACTGAGCAAACAACAACAACAAAAATATCCAACTGTGCTATTCAGATATCTGGGTGGATATGAATGATTCATGTTTTTCTTTAAAAAAGAAAACAAAACAAAATGCTCACATTTTAGCGGAAACCTTTTCCTGTGCTTTTTCTGCCCTTACAGGATGTGGGAGAAAAGTGACTCTGAATTCCCCAGAGTTTAGTACAATCCCCTTCGTTTTTAGATTTGCTTTCTCTTTGTGCGTGTGTGTGCTTCTGGCCTCTTTAATATGGAAAGCCATTTTTTTTTTCTGTCTTTTAAAAACACAGAGTCCTGTGCCAGAAAAAAAAAAAGGGGGGGGGGGAATGTAGAAAAGCCATAGCTCCCGATCCGTCTGTTTATTTGTGTTTCCTGAGCCCAGTACTGAGAGAAAGAGGTCAGACATGACTCTCCATCAGGAGAGAGGCCCTGGAGATCTGCCTTTTTATTTTTTATTTTTCGGAAGACTTGTTGTTTTGTGGAAGGTCAGCGTGGAGGTCCTAACCCCAATGCCCTCTTCCTGGCTGCATTTGCTCTTGGCCTAAACACAGACCGCGGAACTTCTTTAACTTACGCGCAACCTTTGTCTTCAGAAAGGCTCTTCTCGGGGTGGGGTGGGGGCAGGTACTTGCCTCACTGTGGGGGACCCACCGAGGCCCTTCCACCATCTGCCTTGACTGCGACCAAGGCCTTTGTGACCTGTGGTCAGCAGCTGGTTCTCTGAGCAGAGCTGCCGTGAGGAAATGCCGTTCCCATTTCCAGAACGGTGGGTCTTCATATTCCATAGTCATGGGTCTCTTGGCAAAACTGATGGAAGCTGTGAACTTTCTCCCCAGAAAAGTGCTTATCGATTCCACAACTCCTGAATCCCCTGGAGCCCGGGACACCCACCCCCCCCAAACCTCATCCCAAGCTCAGAGTCGCCATCCTAGAGCTGGGCAGCGATCTGCTCTCCCTCTTCAGGTTATCCCTCCAAAAAGCCACCACCCTGGATGCTGGAATGGGTTGGTTGTGTGGTTGGCGTTGCTGAGGGCCTCTATTGGCCTCACATCTCCCTCACTCTGTAGGACCGAGCTTCAGTGTAGGCTGGGGTGCCGCGGAGATGCGGGGACGATGTTGGGGGTCACCCCAAGGCTAGCTCCAGTGCTGTCTGTGGTTCACGGCCCTTGGTCTCCATGAAGTGCTACCACCAAACCCCCAGCGGGCAGGGGACTAAGCTTTACCCTCTCAGCAGCCCAGTCACAGGAAGGTGTACCGGGCCCATCTTAAGATACATCCTTTCATTCACTTATCGGACATGCTCTGCAGGCCTACTATGTGCCAACATGAGGCAAAGGACCACCATGTCCGATCGTTGTCGTACAGCGTATTAGGTACAGTGATAATATTCTCAGGCTGTGGGCGGATCAGAGTAGGTGACATCATGGCTTCGGTTTGGGGAAGAGTTTTCCAGGCAGGCAAAGCAGTTAGAGATGTGTTTTGGAAGAGAGAACGATGGAAGCTAGACATGAAGTAGCAGGACATGGTCCGAGAGCTGGAAGTCTTGGGCATTGCCACCGTTAATGGTCAGGGAGAGCATATGAGGCAGGAGAGAAAAGCCGTTGGGAGCCAAAGCATGTCAAAAGGCCCTTTCTGGCCATTCCAGGGTCCCCTTAAGGTCTTAGAAGTGGCAGATCCAAGAATCCCAGACCTTCAGACCCCAGCTCATCTATTGCTCCCAAGCAGTTACGATAAACCTCCTGACCTCTTGCTGGCCTCTTGCTTCCTGCCCGTTCACTGCTCTCATTTTCTTGGCTTGACATCTTAGACCCCAGGATCCTATATCCGTTGTGTGCGCACTGGCCGGAAGACACCTGCGTGGCTCATTGACCCGGCTTCACCGGTGTCCGTTGTGTCCTGCTCCCCACAGTCTCCTTCCGTCGGTCCCAGTCAGAGTTGCTTCTGGAGCCTTATGTCCCAAATGGCCTGATCTGCCTCCCTGCACAGAGAGCTGTTTTCTTCCAGGATCCTTGGAGCAGCCCCGCTCGGCTTTCCTGGGCTTCCCCGGCCCGAGCTTGGGCCCTGTGTTGGTCCATCCCCGACCCCATCCTCCACAGAGCGCCCCAGCCACTTGGAACTCTCCTAGAAAATGAAATGCAGTGTATCTTTCAAACCTGCCTAGCTTCCTCCCATACGATTCAAACAGAGGCTCTTTCCAGAAGCCTGGATCCAGATCCTGGGCTCCCCGCAGTCTCCACGTTATTGGCAGCATCTGGGGGAAGTGGGTCTGTAGATCCCTGGGTCCCCTTTCTGGAAGCATTTCCGCTGCCCGGGCCTCACCCTCCGCCTACTGCGGACGGCCTTCTGCGCCCGCAAGTGAGCTTGGTCCAGGGCGGGAGTGGGGACAGGCGCCCTCCGGGACATCATAGCTCACTTGTTGCTCTCAAAAACAGGAAATAGGGTTTATTCAAACCATCCCCACGTGACGAACAAGCTGAGAGGCATTGCTTTGTACTCAGTAAGTTGCCCCGTCCTGTCCAGTCTGCCTCCTAAGTAACTCTTGGAGCTGCCCCCATCGCTGCATATACACAGCCTCAGCCTTTACTGAGACCCTGGTGATTTGTTCCTGGGGCCTCTGCAGGAACATCTGTACTGATTTTTAAGGTCATTGCCTTGCAGCGTGTCCTCAAGCCTGCCGCCGGAGCGATCCTCTGCTCAGAAGACACCGGTCCCTGAAGGTCCTCTAAGTGGGGCTCCCCATTGCCCATGAACCAAAGCCCACTCTTCCTTGCTTGGGACACTGAGATCCCTCCTGCTCTGGCCCCGGCTGCCTTCTCCAGATGCTCCTTCCACTTCCTTTTTGGCCTTCTCTTGCCTCTGTCCGAAGCACCTTTTCTCTCCAGCCGTTCCCATCTCCCGGACCCACTCTGTGAAGGTTTGGGCCTCCCTGCCTGCTTCCCTCTGTGGGGCTCTCCTTCCCCACCCTTCTTCACCTTGCCCTCCCCCGCTCCTCTCGGGACCCCCCCCCCGGGGTCACTTCTCTGAGACCACCATGCTGTGGCTCCCCAGCACCCTGGGATGATCTCTCTTGTGGGATTTCGCTCACTCTTTTATTTATTCGCATGCAGGTCATTGAGCTCGAGCATCCAACCTTCATCTCTCACCGTGTCTACATCGTCTGATGCTTAGCACATGTTTCTTGAACTACGTATTTGAGCCAAGGAGTAAGCGCGATAAACTGTCGGGTGACAGAGAGACGCGCTTGGGTCACATCTCCAAGAAAATCTATCTTTGGTGACTTGTGTGTATCGAGGCGATTTCTCAGTTCTGCCCATTTTGGAGGAAGTACCCGCTTTCCCTGCTGTGCCTGCCAGGTTGGCACTGAGAATGTAATGAGGCAGATGATCTCCATTTTTAATCATTTGAGATTATTTTGAAAAACAGAACTGATTGTGCCTGTC